GGGGGGGATTCTGATACTGTACTGTGGTCACTGTGGCTAGTGTTTATCACTTTGTGGATTACACATCTGTCATTGCAGATCATTTTTCACTGTTCATTTACCTGCTGAGCCCCAAAGTCTTGTTTGGATGTTACTCTTAACTTTCATTTAAAAAAGCTGACAGGAGGAACTGGTAGCTGACTAGTTTCAGTGTCAGGCGTTACCAAAAAGAGTTTTTAGTCATTAAAAGCGAATCAGCAAATTCCCATAAATAGGAGTCAGATGCAAAACAGCGCTGAAGAAGTATAACAAAGAAGTACCTACGGTATGACCAGAGGGCTGTGGTAATAAAATGCAGAACAGCAACAACTCCACTTGTTTTGTCTGAGAATGTAAACACGACATGAGAAGTGCATGCCAGGTCAGGCGATAAGTCCTACTTCGACAAAAGCGTTTCTAGCCTTTTTGATACGATCACAGTGACACATTGACATTTGAAGTAAGCCATGATAAAACCATAACACATCATATGTGACTCGCAGAAATGACAACAGTTGTGCTACAGTGTAGTTCTCATTTTTACAGATGGCCTTGAAGTTGAGTCTGCTCTCGGTCACACCTGGATATTATGTTACCACAAGTAACAGTTGGAGTGGAGGTGGTACAGGGAGAGCCAGTCGGTTTGGCGCATCATGTGTCAACTATCTCTTTGGCAGTTTGTGTAAAACCTTTCTCAAACCTGAAATTTCTCCTTGTACAAGAATTAAATTGTAACTCACTGTAGGAACCATTTATTAGCCGTGTGTGTTTTTTTACTTTACAAGGTCAAAAGGAATGACTTACAAATAATTTGGTCCAGTTATTATTTGTCTTAAAACTGTGATTTTATGTGGTTATGCAATTATTTGTAATGTGAAAGAGTGGCATGGAAACTATGTTTAGGGCTGCAGTAGGAAGACGGGATGAAATAGCGATGAATGTACATCAAAGATTATTAAGTAAAGCCTTTTTACAATAAACCCTGAAGACTCTTCGTGTTTATTTACACCAGTGACCTGTGTGGTGATGATCTGAGGCCGTCTGGCCTGGGTGATCCCCACACATTCCTCAGATAGTTACTTATTTTTCACATGCAGGACTCTTATTCCACCATTTATGTGCGTGAGTGTGATATGTGAGATAAACCTCAATTTTTTTTTTTAAAGTCATGTCGGTTCTTATCTCATGATTCTGCTGCTGAGCATAACACACTTCGCTGCTATATCTGATGTCAACATAGTCGGATTGATTCCAGTGTTAAACAAACTTTTGATAGTTTTTCAGTGAGAAATGCCACGATCTAATTGTTGTTGCGCTTTGTTTTTGGTTTTTTCGGCAGGTCCGGAGCAATATTGATGAATCATCATAACAAGGCTACTACATGATGAGCAACCAGTCAATGCAAACCCTCAGTGATGCAGTGTTACGAGCCAAGATGCCATTATTTGACCGGACGATAGCATCTGCAGGACTGTCAAAACCGCAAAATATGTCTGGTTTCCTGGGCAAGCAGACGCTGCCGTGCCATGGGGCCTTCTTTGCTTATGACCCGAGAGGAAAAGAGGGAGCGGGATTCACTTCTCCTTGGAGGAACTCAAAGACATCTCTGCTGAACGACCGGAGTACTATGAGTCACCTCTCTGGCATGGAGGGAAACCATCTGATTTACAGACACGACAGCAATTCTTCAGAGGAAACTCAGTCTTCTGCTACGCGTCACACCCCGGTAAAACAGGGCTTTATGAGGTACAAGAAAAGTCCTGAGATCAGCAGTCCCACAGCTGCAGCGTCGTTACCTATTAGAAAACAAAAAACTGGAGGTGAGACTTCATCGCCCCCATCTGAAAACTCTGTTTACTTAGCGATTCCCAGGCCGGTTTATGGACATAATCCCTGCTGTAATGAACTGGGTTGCATGTTAGGACAACGCTACAGTGTGGAACATAGCTCTCCAAGGATACCAAACACTGTATATGAGCGTGACTGGATGCAAACTGATGCTCACTACGCTGAAAAACCATCTGTTGAAAGGAAAGGACAAGAAACGGTGCTTCAACAGAGAGTCTTACAGTTTGAACATAGCACAGATACACTGAAGAGGCTGACTGTGGACTCATACAGCCCTGTTAGAGGAAGAACTTTGCCTGCTGTGATTGAGCCGCACTACAGCAGTTACCCCTGCACCCCGACTCGTCCACTGTTTGGTTCTTTAAGTGAGCATAGCCAGCCTTTACAGACTTCCCCCAGAGGCTACCCCAGCCTTTACCCCTCCCACCCTACATATGAGCATATGACCTCAGAGGTTTATCAGGAACGTTCTCCCATGTCCAAATATGGCCAACTAGCGCAGCACCAAGTGTTTTACTACCCCCAGGCAAATGTGGAGGTAGAAAACAGAACCCAGTGTAAAGATAGTGGCAGTAAGCAGAGAGAAGATGTTGCTGTTATTCATAAACACACAAGCTCAAACCCTCGGGAGCATTACATAGTGCCTCAGTCGCTTCATGCTGAAATTCCTTTGCCTTTGTCTAGCACTGAAATGTTGCCAAATCATTCCTTTATGCGGGGTTTGAACTATCCATGCTATGCTGTTCCAAGACTTCATTTAAATCCAAGCCAAATCAGAGCCCCCCTAAAAAGGCAACATGCATCACCTACTTTTCATCCTAGCCACAAAAATGTTTCACCATCCAGCCAACACATGGATCACCCCATGGTGTCCGCCAGCAGTTTACAAAAAGACAAACCCAAGCACCCCGGCCTTCATGTTGACCACCTACCCATTTCCTCACCGTTCCTACCTGTGACTCAAACCAGCCCTGCCAGACGTGTGAGCAAGCCAGGTGTCTCACCATCAGTTATAGAAATGAGAGGATTCTTCCCCCCTCTCAACCGCCTGCATATGGACCCACCCATCCTTCCACCACTTGGCTTGAATGTGGACAGAGCAGTGGACTATTCCTCCTGTGAATCTCAAGTCCCTTGCCCGACTCAGCCAAAAAACGTTCCAGTTTCCCCAGCCGTGTGGCGACCTCAGTCACCCAATCGGAGTTCAAATCGGATCCACACAGACGCGCCTAGGAGTGCAAATGTCCACAAAAGTATCGATTCTCCTGCTGTCGAAACAAGACGCAAACATAAAAGCTCTGTGTCCAGTCCAGAAACCGCTGTTAATAAACAGTGTCTAAAGAGGAGCATTTCCCATTCATCTTCACCTGTCAAAATAAAAGAGGAGGATAAGGATTTATATGAAGTGGAATGGATCAGGAAGAGACAAAAGTTGAAAACGGAGATTATCCGAGAAGGAAATAAGAATGACTCTCCCCCTATGCCAGTTATTGACACTGTTTTCAGTTTGGCACCTTACCAAGGATATCTGCAGATCTCGAGAGGGATCTCTGGAGCTGGAGCATCAGGGAAAGCCTGTCAGTCCTCTGAGCAGCACGAAGTTAAATCCAAGCCAGACAAAGAAAAGAAACAAGATCAAGCTAAACAGGAGCCTGTTGTGTGTCTAGTTTTTAAAGAAACTCATACTAATACTCCAAAAGAGAAAAGTGCTGCAGAAGCTGTTGAACCCAAAAATATTAAAGTAGAAAACCTAGATAAATCAGATATCAGCAGCTCTACAGATGACAGCATTAGTCCAAACCACAGCAGTAAAATGGAAGTCAAAAAAGAGCCCACAGAGACTGCTTCACCTGATGATGGACCTATTTTCTTAAAAAAGACAATTGAACCTGAAGAACACGAAACTAAGCCATCTAGAGCAGCTGAAAATAAGACTTCAGATGAGTCCAAACCTGCTGAGATGACTGCACAGACAAACTCGACTTCTGAAGGTGACACAAAAGCAACACAACACAAAGAGGAGCTCATCCTTGCCCCCAAACCCACGACTCCACTGCCTGGGAGCAAACAAAATTTCAAAAACATTCCCCCTCAGTGTCTTAAACTTTCCACCTATAAGATTATTATCCCTAACGGCAAGAATTATTTCCCTGTTCCACCACCACAGAAGCCGACTGCACAGCCAGCAGCTGAGTTCATACCAAACCAAGATATCCAAACGCCCGCCCGCAAGCATTTCTTTGAGCTGCACCAGTCATTCTGTAAGCTTGTGTCCAAATCTGTGTCGACTTCTTCAGAGCAGGACCTTAAAAAGTGGTTGTCCCAACTGAAAATAACCGAATCGGTATCTCACGTGACCAAAGTCCAGAACGTTTCCTGCCTGCTGGGGGTAAAAGCCAGAGAGGCTTGGCTCAACGAGGAGATGAAATCGGCACTTGACGCGGTCCTCGACAGGTTAAGAGAGTACTCGATCCAGGAACGCTGTCCTTTTCCGCACGTCATGCGGACGGGAGCAGTGTTTCTCCCCATGCTGGTGGTCAAGGAGCTGCTGTTTCCTATGGTCCATGGCAGCTTCATTGACCAGGTCCTGCAGGAGCACAAAGTCGAGCTGCGACCCACCACGCTCTCTGAAGAGAAGATCCTCATCCAGCTCCATAAACGAGCCTGCTCCTCCAGACTCAGGAGACTGATGTCCCTCAAACACCTGCCCGACGTCTATGCCAACGCGGTCAACCTTCTGTATTACGTCTGCGTCTGCAAACAGCTGGGTGAGTGTACATTCAACACAGACATACCGAGACAAACCACTAAGGTTGCTACAGTTACAACACTGTAGCCCTTTAAACCATTACCC